TTTCACTTTGTCTTCTGAAAAGAATTTTTATTTTTATCAAAGTTCAATAGCTGTAAGACCTGAAACGTTACTCTTGCAACATTTGACGTTGCTCGATTTGAATGCATATTTTTGTGTTCGCGTACTATAATCGGAAAACATATGTAGTTTCATAAACGTAAAATTGACGGAAACAACACGCAATTATCTTCGCTGAAATGTCTACAGCGAAATTGCGAATTGCTCTGTAGAATCTATTGTTCGCAAGACTCGCTCGTCGTAAATTACACAGTATATGTAATTAACTCAGCTATGTCAGGAGAAATATTTAATTCTTTATCGAAGAAGGAAAGAGCGTTAAATGGATTACGTATGTAAAACCTTCGGAATTTGAGTTTAGCTTAATTTGAGATTTACTTAAAGACTTAAATAATTTGAGATTTACTTAAAGACTTAAATAATTATAAAATAATTTTAGAATCCGAGTTGTTTTTCTGTTATCGGAATCGATGACACATTTTGTATCAAATATTTCTGCATGATGATAAAAGAGTTATCTTAACAATATTTAGTAAAATTTTGAAATTATAATTATAAATATGATATTTTTAATTCACGGAGATAAAATTGGGCTTTAATTTTTAAAAGCTCTTTTTACCTCTTTTCTTTTGTTCTTTGCGTTGAAAAAATATTCCAAAAGATGTGGAATATTTTACCCGCGCTAAAAGATTTTTTTTTAATAAAATCAACTTTTAATTGTCGTCAACTGGAATAAAAGTTTTTATTGTAAAATTTGTTATGTCCTAACTGAAAGTTCGTATATATGTATATCATTTGTCGTGTACATACAATGTTAGTTTGTGTTAACAAGTACAATTCTGAAAATTCTGTGAAAGCATCTAGATTTGCAGTTAAATGGAAAGAAATTTATTATCACTCTCGCTCTCTTAGATATGTCTCGCGCTCTTCTTCGAAAAACTTTAAAAGATTTAGACCATAGTTAAATGGAAAGAAATCTATTACTCTCACTCTCGTTCTTATGTCTCGCTCTCACTTTCGTCCGAACAAATCAGACAAAATTTACAGAGAAAGTAAACTTGAAATTAAACAAGTCCAGATAGTCTTCGATAGGATAAGATAATTTTAAACAATCTTGCAATAGGAAAATATTAAGATTAAAGTTTCCCTTAGATTGTACTTTCGTAAAAACTTTACTTCTCGTATTTATTGAGCGCAAAGTGCATAAAATTTAACCAACGCATTCTAAATTCGCAAGTAAAAATCCTTCATAAGACGAAATATGATCTGCGTACATCGCACGTGCACGTGTACATACATAGTACATGTTTCGTTTTTTTTTGTTTGTCCGGTTAAATCGTACATAGCTTCGACACTGATACGCCTCCTCTTCTCTCTTTTCTAAAGAAAAGGCAGTCGAGACGTTTCGGAGAATTATGGACACAAACGGATTAAATCGCAAACTATTTTATCAGTTTTTTCGACATATTAATTCACGTTGTATATTTTTCTTCGGTTGTGAAGAACTTTTAATTCCAAAAACTATAATTCTATTTTTGTAAAAAAAATGCTTTTACAATTTGCCAAACTCTGACTGCTCCGAGAATACGACTACTTAGTGTTTTGTCAAACTTTATAACCGAATCGCGATCGCATCAAAGTTTATTTGTGACATATTTAAACGTAATCAACCTTTCCATCGTCTTTTGTATAACGTTGCCGATACATAGACAATAGGAAAATAAATCAGAGACGAATTACGTTTATTTCTCTTTTAAAAGCAAAAAATAAAAGCAGATATATATAATTTAATTTTATTTAATAAAATTAATAAAAGATTGTTGATAAGATTCTATAAAAAGGGAACCTATATACGAATAAAATATAAATAATACAGAGTTATACATATAATATATACTTATAATATAATGAGTAATTAAATAAATATAGAAAAGAATATATATAAAATATTAGTAAAATAAGAGAGTAGAGAAATAGAAATAAAAAAATAGTAAACTAAAATTATAGTATTGAATTATAACTTTTTAATTCAATTGTCGATGGATTATAAACTTATTGTTTCACACATTTCATTCTTTTATCTTATCTCATCTCATATTCTTTTACTTCCCGCGCTTTATCTTATAAATCTTAAAATTTAGTTGTGAAGCACGTGGTTTCAAACCCAGAAGAATAGCGAAGGTGGCAGTTTTCTCGGCTCCGTCAACGTTTATCGAATTTTTTCGGGAAGCCACTTAGATAATTCGCAGGCAGGCAGGAGGTTTATGTAAGAATCAATCATTCTTTGGCGTCACGAGGAATTTAATAGCCCGTGACTGGTAGCGCGATCGAGAAAAAGAGGACAAAAAAATTTTGTTTTTATTACATTGACAGATACGTTGACGTAGTTGTTTGTTTCATTTCATTGGCGAAATTTATGGCGAAGTAACAAACCCCGGGAGTATGCCCCCTGCATTCTGCAGGTAAGCACATTTTAACGACTTCCTGCAACTTAGAAATTAGACAAATAATGGCGTGTTCAGCAGAAGAAGTATGAGGGAACACATTTCATGGTGACCATGCTGTTTCTTCCTTATTGTTAGTTCGATTCCGGCGAACACGACTCGACGTGAGCGCACGTTGATGCTTTAGGATCGATTTGCTCTTTGGGTGTTTACTGTACAAACACTCCGATAAGAATGGTTCTGGTTTCATAAGACGGTCTAATGGCATACCTGAACGCTATTTCGAGCAAAAGCTGCTAAACAATTTCTTGCAATTTTCACCGTTGAAATAATTGTGCTTTACAAACTATTTTTGTATTTACCAATTCTTAATCCAATGTCTCAGTGTAGGTATATTTTAATTGTGAAATTTAAATTAAAAGTGAAACTTTTTTCACATATATATAATTCGTTCTCTTAGTCGTTTGCAAAAGTTGCTATGTAACTGAGCAAAGAAAGCTTGGAGTCTTGGTGTGAGAATAGAAAGTTAACCTTTAAACTCAACAAAATCTTCTGTAAGAATTTCTCATAATTTACGCACGATAAATTTTATTCACTATAGTATGCATAATATTTTAATCATACAGTCTTACAATTTATGTCATGTTTGTTTTTTTTTTTTTTTTGTATTTATAAATATTAGTCCTACAATTAATAATATCTATACTTAAAGAGTACATAATCGGTGCTTTCCCATTTAGCAACACACAGTTCGACACAAGCATCATTCTATCTTTATTCTTATAGAATGTAGAACAAAGATAGAATGACGCTCGTGTCGTTTTGTGTTGCTAAATGGGAAGCACCAAATATTATTGACTTTACGAAAATATAAACAAGTCGTATCCTCAAGGGGACGTTCTTGTCTTGGCGTTTCTATGTATAGTAAGAGGAAGGCTCGCAAACGTAAATTCGGAGATCCGGGATTCATTATCCGCCTCGTTGACGGCGTCCAGTTCGACGCCGTCACATCGATCGATGGCTGCTGAACGCGGATGTGTCAATTTGCGATATTATGCGGAACGCGGCGCGTAAACGCGCGCGCGACGACGACGGTAGACGCGCGAGGACGAGCCCGGGGTGGAAAGGGGGAGGGGGATCGACGGCGACGACGGGGGAGCAAGGGAAGGAGGAGAGAAGTGCGGGATGAGAGAGTCATAAAATCGAGCGAAGTGAACGCCAGGAGGGAGACACTGAGTGATGTCGGTGACAGGCCGACCGCCCTCCTCCTCGTCCTCCTGCAACCGCCTCCTGTCGCTATTACTCACCGAACGCCGAATACCATTCAAAGTTCGAAACCGCACGTTCGCGACCCAATTCCTACGCGGAGTCAGCTGTTCGGTTCATTCAAAGCTCGATCGTTGGCGCCGTTGGGCGCCCGGCGTGAAACGCCCCAGAAATTATGAAAAAAAAAGGACAAAATTCATCGCCCGCATTGACGTCGTCGATTGTTTTGTTTGGCCGCTAATCATTCCGCTATAGGTATTGATGAACTTACATCTCGGATCTTGGACGAATTCGCGAGTCATTGAAACGTCAATTGAATATTTTTTATTCGACACAACATTATTATAATTTATAGATTTTAATAACTTTAATATCGTCTCTTGCGAGAATAATTCTCAAAATTGCAGATAAAAATCGTAATTATTAGTATGTGTATGTATTTGTGTTTTTTTATTTCATACTTAAATAGGTGTGCATATGTATGAATATTCTACTGTCTAAAACAACAATAAAGTAGAGGACAATTTTCCATTTTTAAAACTTGGAATAAATATTAATTCTTGCTCTGTATGAGATTATAAACTCTGCAATTTCTATTTTGGATTTATCATGCTTATTATATATCGTATACACGTGTCTTACGTATTTCAAGTGTAATGAAAAAAAATTAAATGCTCGTTATTTTTATATCAACGCGTAGCTTCCTCTTCTTGCGGTTAACCGAGAAATTCTTATCCTGTTGCCCCCGCCAATATACTGTCCGACGGCAAACGGCGAACTGAAAGAATCGTTTCATTAAATAGGATTACTAAGCAATAATTTGCGACGTCGGTCAGCATCTAATTCCGCTAAAACAAATATTCGTTCTTCGTTATGCACGCACGTGATATCTATAATTTAGGAAGGAACGGTGATTTATCGAATACAGAATTAATTCTAATTCCGCAATTCTTGGATCGTTTGCAAATTCGTCGAAACGTTTGCGTTTGTGTGAAAACAGCGTGCGGTCTCCTCTTTTTCTCTCTCTCTCTCTGCCAAAAAGTATTCGTCGCGCTGGCTGTCAGTATTGTCCTGCGTTCGTGACCGCTCGAGCATCTTCGGTTCGATCCACCCAGCTAGGGGCAAAAGGGGAAGTAGTCCCGAAAGCACCCTGTCAAAATGCTTACCAGTTTATTCCGCAAGAAAACATCGATCATCGACGGTACGGATCTTGACGTGCCACAATCGTATTAATATCCACGTCGAGTAAACAAAAATCCAAAATTATCCATGTGCAATTCAATATCCTCTCTTTTACTCTAGATACACTGTTTAACAATAATATGTTGGTAACTATTTTTTTATTTTATAATTTTGTATGGAATATTAATCGGACTTTGTCTAAGGTGCGCGAGATAGAATTTCAGAAAAATAATGCTGCAGTTTCGTAAAATTTTGTCGGATCCAAGATCGCATCTTCTCCCTGCTTTAGTTTTGTTAGAAGACCAATCTCAAGAGTCTTCCCCGTGTATGAGACGCCTGAAATCGGAGCAACGGAGTCGGTTTCGCGGATTCTCCCTGGTATCTCGCGCTTCTTTCGCGCGAACGACGTTTCTCGTAGCGTACCTAGGCCCTCGTCGACCTCATCGCCGTCGTCGTCGTCGTGGTGATCCGTCGGCAGTCGCTTTGGTAGTGGTGTAGCGATGGCGGAGGATTCTGTAGTTCGCAATCTCGCCGTCGCGGCGCTGGACCACCAGGTTCTCTCTCTCTCACCCCCGATCCCGATGGGCGGTCTCGAAGACACATTGGCCGTAGGCGTGGCACCTGGTCTCCCACTCTGTGGCATAGCGCGGCGCTGATTGACAGTTGGCGAACGACTGCGGAAGGCGCAGGATCTAAAACCGCGCTAGGCGCTACTCTCCACGCTCGCTCGCTCCGCTCTTCTCTAACCCGTGCGATCTACACACAACCCGGTTGCTTTTTCGTGGGGGAAAACCTGAAACACGCATATCCCCGTGCCCGGCGTAGCTATACGTGTAAGCACACTATATACTACGAACCTACCGCCTTCTGTCCGCCGGAGTTACGAGTGCCACACGCAGTAGTAGTCACGGTCAGGGAGGAGGGTCGGACATCACTCGCTCGGCGCGAATCTCCTCTCTCGACTTCGCGGTCCGTACGCGCGCCGTCTTCGCGTGGTGATAGCGGGATGTACCCGTCGTCGTGCCCGCAGTAGGAAACCCACGTCCCCGTCTTCTCGTATATCCGCGGATAGTCTTCGTCGAGCACGCGCGCGCGCGAGATTGCTCCGATACATTGCAACGAGCGCGATCCGGTTGTTACGAGATTGTTGTGCGCGACTTCTCAGGCGGCAACTCGGAGAAGAGGAGATACATATCGCGGGACAGCGCGCATCGTCGTGGCAACGCTGCTGCCACACTGTGCGCGTCACGCGCGCGCTCTCTCTCTCTCTCTTTCTCTATCTCTCTATCTCTCTCTCTTTCTCTCACTCACTCACTCTCAGTCATTCGTAAACACGGAGCATCCGCGAGGTGCGAGCGTACGCATCGGTTGACTGTGCCGCGACGGTGAAATATAAGTGCTAGCGTCGTGACGCCCGCCGTCGTCGTCGTCTTCGTCGTCGGGCGTCATTGTGGATCCACGTCTCGTGTCCCGAAACGAGTAAACGAAGGATATAACGTGTTCTGTCAGTGACATCAGTGATCATTTTCTGTTGGTTGTGCTGCAAACAGTGAATGTAGAAAAGGAGAAAAAAAAAACAGGACGTCTCCGGACGCGTCGTAATATATCGTGTATCGTGTCGGATATTAGGAGAGGAATCAAGGTTTTGCTACCTGCGACCAGACATCCCGGCGCCACCTCGATGTGGCACGCTCGGCCGACAGGTCCCGCGATCACCTCGCGCGCGAATCCCGCGCTCTAGGTGTCATATTAGCCACCACGTTACTTCACCGCGTTTATCCTTGCTCCGAGATCGCGATCGAGAGAACCCAGTCAACAGTCGTTGAAGAGGAGTATATCGTTCCAGATAATATACGCGAAGATATGCGGGATTGACGGGAGGCGATCCGACACCGTGTCCCCGGAACGACCGAGGTGGTGTCATCATCAGCGACGACGATGTGGAAACACGTGTACCCGGCCGCAGCCGTAGTAGTAGCCGTCGTAGCCGTCGTGGAAGTCTCGCTGATACCCGAGATTGCTGAACTGTGCTGACGCTTGTTCGCAGTTATTGAAATTCGACGTCGGCTGCACGTCTCTCTTGCGAGCGACGCTCTTGAGCTCTTCGAAATCGCGGAAAAGAGAGAGAGAGAGAAAAACACGAAAGGGGAAGAGAGTTCGAGAGAAATATAGAAGGGAAGAGAGAGAAGAAAACGTAGATACAGCGGAAGAGAGCAGCAGCGGGCCGACGGAAAGCGATTGTGTTCAACACGTGTGCCGGTCGATTCGCATTCTGAGGATTAATCTGAAAAAAGAGGAGGAAGAAGGAGAAACTCATTCTTCTCGGTTTACCCGTCGGCTACCGACGGAGCTTGGAATTCGACCTCGATCCTCTACCCGTCGGACAACCTACTCTACCTTTTATCGTGAAAGTCCAACGTCACGTAGCGCGTTTGAGCGCCAGGCTTAGATCGCGCTACAACAGTGCTGAGAAAGTGTTGTGAAGTGTCGAGGCTTGCTTACATTGTGGGAAAATACAGCCGCTACGGTGGCTCAGCACGCAGAGTTCCCCGGCGCGGCCAGGGCGTTCATGGCGCAGCCAAGGGTACGTTTTATGCAGTTGCATTTCTGTGTATTCACCTTTTGCCCCCCTTCTTAGAGTTATCACGATGTTAGGCGAGAAATAGTCGACAGGCCGTGCGAGTCGTGTAAAATCAGCCGAGGTCCACGTACGATTCTTTTGCATTATTTCTCAATATAATCTTGGGTGAAAAATGTCCCAATTTTCTTAAAATGCGAGAAGTCGAGGCGTATCTTCAGTGACTAGCACTCTAGGAACAATTTGAGATATTTTCAAGTATTTTAAGAAAATAAAGTATCCACAAAAGGTAAAATATTTGTCACCATTTACGATAAGTGCCTTAAAAATGTTCAAGTAACGCGATATCCACGAGAGTCAAATTCTGAAATGTTATTGCCGGTAGAAGGATTTTATCTTGTCTGAGTATCGCACTGTGAAAAGGTTCTCGGGACGCTAAAGTGTTCGAGGGTTCGTCATTTCGTTTGCAAGGAAGATCGAATGTCAGAGTTTTCGCGAACCTTGCCTCTAGGCAGCCTCGAGAGTCATCGGCACCGCGTGAATTTATAAAACAGTGTCGCAGCTCGAGAGAGAGAAAGAGCGGCAACGAACTCGTCTTAAGCGCGGATCCCTGCAGCTAGTGAATTTGAATTGAATATCGTCGCCGTGTCGAAAGAAAATTTACATGTCGGCCGTTTTGTAACGTCGCTTACAACGCGACGGTCGCACAAAAGGGTTGGTTGCTTCTTCACCTCGTCGAGAGAGCGAGTTTCTTATTCTGACGTTTCGCCGGCGTCGCCTATAATTGGGTAGATAGAATAGGAAACAAAATTAGATATATTTTTTTGGAGGGAGAGAGCGAAGCATTAAATATCCGCTGCGAGTCTCCCGGACCCGTTTCGTGTTTTCGTGTCGATTACAAGCATCGTAATCGGACGACTTTGACCGCGGCGTAATTACGGCAGATAATCATAACACAACACCGGGGATTCGAGTAAATTTCCTCTGGCCTCGATTGCGAGTCGAGATGACGCCTCGTCGTCAACTTTCGATGAATTAGTGATATACGAGGCTAACAAACTCCGAAATAGTCTAACGAAATGTTGCGATCATTTTCGGAGTCAGTCGCGAAGAATCATCGCTCCAATGCGTTTACGACAATGTTGATTTCTCGTCAAGTATTTTGTTGCGTGGTAATTTTTTCGATTATCTCGGATTTGTATGTGTTTGAAACGGAAACGGTTCCACATGTGTCAGAATTGCAGAAGATGTGCGAGCAGAGTGTATACAGCTCTTGTCCAGTCAAGTCGTGATGACAAACGTCGCATTACACGAACGCATAATTAAAACAAGCGGCAAGTTGACACTCTGTTGTTGTCCTCAATGATGAAAGACGTCGCGACTCCGAAATACGTTTCTATTCACATCGTGTCTCGTAAATATTTCTAATGCGTCAAGAGCTAGGCGAATTATTTCTTCATTATTCCGGGCCGATGTAACAGTAATAAATAATTGCAAAATTATTGTGATAATGGATACTTGTCTATCGATAATTTAATTAAATACGATTGTTCAAGCTTTTGTTTTTTATAATTTTAAGTCGCCGAGAGCGACGTGAACTCGTGTTCTTCAACTTTCAAAACTGAATTGTCATTATACATATGATATAATGTGATAAGTGCAAATTATTTCTCGTGACATTATGGAATTCCCAACTTTTTTTTATCACTTATTAAAATTATATAATTTATTTATTTTAGCATTGCTCACTTATCATTGTCAATTTTATTACAATTAGTCTTCAATATTTAAGTTTCGATGACGTCATTTTTATCCAAGCTTGTAATTAAATTTCATCGCGGAGATCTCAAGTTTAATACATCACGATGAATGTTTCATTTTTTCTGTGTTCTAAAAATTTCCACTTTGTAATTAAAATTTATATCTGCGTGTCAGTTATCTTTCTCAGTGAAATCTGCCGACGGATGATAGAGTCCGCACAAAGTATTAACGCGAAGTTGTACAGTGAAATAACGATTGCGAGTAAAAAGTTTGTCGTATTCGCTTTATATTCACCCCCCGACGGGCGAGGATTCTCAAAGGGAGATTATTTCGATACAAACATCTCGTCATTTCTGATCCGCGGAGACGGAAAGTCTTGCAGTCGGAAGTACTTCATTTTGAAGAATCAATTAGTGTTTACACGTACGACAGATAAATACAATTTGCTGGAGACAATTGCCGTTTTCGTATAAAATCTCTCTATCTCGCGAATCATCTGCTTACGTGGAATCTGCCAACAAAATCGTAAAGTTAAATTTGTGATTTGTATATTTGTGTAGTAAAAAAATATTATATGCGAGAAAAATATTTTTTTTTTATTTCTGAATTTTTAGACGATATAAATAACTTTCTAAAATTCATGAACACATTGATGTATGAAAATTTACACAACACAATGAATTATTTATATATATTATTTTCTTATTATTTTATTATTTCTAACTTTGTTTTACTTGTCATGTGATTTTAATTAATCTCGAGTTGATCTATTGATCTATTATTGTCATTTTCTATCATCATGTGATATGCTATTGACCGTCGGATGTAGATACATATATATATATATATAATGTTTCTTCTTCGACATACTTTTGAGTTTCATAATCTCTTTTTTCAATATTTTAATATTATAATTATTTATAAAAATTATAATGCAAAAATAATGTAAAGTTGAAAAAATTTTTGTCTCAACATAAATTTTTATTTTTGATATCGTATAGAAGCTAAAGTAGATAGAGCAAAATCGCACAAGACATTATTACAAATCAAAATATGCAATTTCTGAGAGAAGAGCTGCATATTAATACTTGTGTCATTTAAATGTGTTTTTATGAGAGACTTGACATTTTACGAATAAATGTTTCTATACATGCGTATGTATATGTGCGAATATATTCGGTCTGTTTTAAAAAAAATTGTATTTTCTTGAATCTCGTCTGACTCTTGTTTTGTCGCGATGCGGAGAGAATACTCGGCCCACTCGAATAATATTTATTCCGTCGTATGTAAATGCGAAATACTTGTGGTGAACTCGATCTCCGAAGCGAAGGAGCCGGGGATTACATTCGATCGTGTTGACACTTCTTGATCATTCAATGCTCAATGCTAAACGGGTCGTATTGATTCCGATAACTGACTCCGCGCAAAAGCAACGCGCCGATAATCGTTCGCGCGTATTATTTATATGTTTCGCGCGTGTGACACGTCTCACTCGATAGGATGTATCTGTGTGTAAAGGATCCTTTTCTTCTCCTCTCTCTCAATTTTTGGCGAGAGATGTAGAATCGACAAAATCTTTGCGTACAAATCTTTTCACATGTCTTTGAATTACAGATTTTGATTTTAATTGCGTCAAAATTAGGATATAAAAATTATTTCATTTTGAGCAGTAAATATGCGCTAAAAGATGAAATGAGGAACTTATGTCGAGAGCGCCATATTTTTTCTTTCTCTCGTTGCCATGAATAAATATCAGTGCTCCGAGTTCTCAAAGTGTTGATTGTACTTCGCGACGTGAAGTTCCAAGTAAGCTGGATATAATGAGTATAGATGATTTTGGGTAAATAACATGTTTTGCGGTGTCTCAATCGCAGTCGGATTGTGCAAAACGAGCGAACGCGCGCGTTTTACCGCTCAATTCCGCTTCGTGCCGGTCCCGGTTGCGCTGGCAAAATTGCCGAAACGTGCATGCGTGCGTGAGTGATACTTCGCTCCGGCGGAATCGCGAAACTCTTTCGCGTGTAGCGCGGAGAATTTCTGCGGATCCGGAGAAGCGGAGAAAGCGAAGTGCGTGGCAAAGCTCGATCTTTGACAGATGATTTTTTTTTTTCGATGACCTAACACCCCGTCGGAGGTTGCAAAATATTGGCGAAACGTTTTCGAAATGAATATTCGAGCGCTTATACCGAAGGAATGACAACGAGTAGCTGAGTAACTTTTCAGTCTGTTTGTAAACGATGACGGGTATCGGGAATTCAAATAACCGTAAATATATGATAAACATTGCATTTATTCGGGATCATTGACGGTTTTACCGATTTTTAATTTTATTTATTCATTATACATATGCAGACTGTTCTAAAATTATTGATGTTTGTTTTAATGACAGAGATTATTTAGAAATGTTTGGCTGTACGTTTAATGAATTCCAGAATTTGTTTTTTTATTTATTACAATATTCTATATTCCATTGAATCAAAAAAATTGTTTATGAAATTTGTTGTGGAAAGATTTCAAGTTGCAAAGAATTTTTAAATTTCACATATAGGATATTCTGTGAACTTTCATATTCTGCGATCTTGGAAAATTAGTAACATGAGTTTTCTATTAAGCTGAATGTGCATCGTAATGTATCTTGTTATAAATCATATTTCAAGGAAATTTTATTTTCCAAGGCAGCCATTTATTTCCATATATCTTCATATCATTTGAAATTAATGTTTCTAATTCTCTTGAATTTCGTTTTGACAGCGAAATCAGTATTTCATCAGTATTTAGGAGAAAAATAAGTAGAAGTGCGTTTCGTACGAGCGGTACATATTCATCTCGGTGAAGAAACCAGTGTAACAAGGCGATAGCGCGTCTCGGATTAAAAATTCCGACCGTGAATAACGGACGACTCTTCGACGACGAGGTGTACCCGATTTTTCGTCGTCCATCGGCGCTGTACCGCCACCGAATGAGCCGTGATTATGTATTTATGGGTATCCATCAATCACTTTCGCTCTCCCGATTGCCGCGGATATCGGCCTTTAGCCTACGGATTAAAGTCGTATCGATTTCTCGCCGTTCCCCATTGGTCGTTGCGCGTCGCGTTTTTTTTTCCTTTTCCGTCTGGACAGTCGTTAGGAGGCATATTCATGCGAGCGAGATAAATGGGCCTAACTCGGCTCGGTGCCCGCGATTTGGAATTCTCTCGATACGAGCCTAATGTCTGTTTCTGTTTCTCCAAAAATGTGTTTGTG